AGATAAGATACGTAAAAACAACGTATGCAATCAAAACGCAATGAATAAGGAGAGCGAACAAAGAGTCAAAAATGGTTTGAAAGGTGAACATACTTTGGCAGGAGTTCGCCGGCATTCGGCTTGATAAGCACTCTCTTAGCATATAAAGACAAGCCACAGTCCCTATTATGAGCCTGTGCAGCGTACTCAAGCAACGAAAACTTGTGCTGAGGTATGTAGAGCACGGATCGCAATGAAACTGGTGTGTCGGTCTGCAAAGAAAAGGAATCAAATCAAAATCTCTAGAAGAAAAACCGATGCACCTTATTGAACTAAGTCAAACCCGTAATCAAAGCAAAAAAATATTACATCCAGCAATTATCACCTTATAATGGATGGTATAGCATGGCCTATGAAGGTACTCCGATTTCTTCTGCTGTTTTGCCAGTTGTCTGAAAATCAAACTAGGATGCACTCAAAGGAACTAGCAGGCAAAGACCACACAAACCACATGAAATTTCAACAAACGCACTGGAAGAATGTTTCGTGCATCTCCTTGGTGACGTCTTTTGGTTGCAATGTCCATATCGCATTCAAGCTATTCACTCGTTCTCCATTAAGCAGAATGGGGGCGGCCACGAAATAGGAGTACTTATCGATTATCTGAAAAATATCACCATACTTTTAGGAACTAGAATCTACGCATAGGAATAGATACCATCGCCAAAGAGATAAAGGCACATACCAAATTTATGCACATTTTAATTCTGACTGAGTGTTTAGATTGGAAATAGTCTATCTCTCTGACTTCTTCTTCTTTTTTTCTTTCGCTATTTCTTTTTGCGCCTTACGAGGTTGACAGGCGAGTTATTCCAGTAATTTCTAAACATTCCCATTGAATCGTCTCTTCAGTGTCAGCATCCCTCACCACGCCTTAGCGGATTGAAAGATCCGTCTTTCATGAGAGCGCTAGCTAATTTACAGTTTAGCGAGTAATTAAATTAAGGGCACTTTGATCCCTTTACTGCCCCGGTCATCCGCAACCCGGCGCCAGTTCCTGACCGACTTTTTTCTCCGTGGACAGATTTCGCTCAAATTTTGTCTACTGTGGTAGTTTGACCTCCAGAATACGAATATCACATTCGCTCAAAAAATAAAATAAAAAAAAATACCCTGAATACTTTCTGGCGCTCGCGCCACACGCGCCAATGAATTTTGGCGGGTTATTTTGCGCCGGCGCCCGTGGTGCGCGGCAACCAGTTTGGATTGAGCGTTGACTGTGATATTCGTGTTCAGGGGGTCAAACTACCCCTGGGAGCAAGTTTTCAGCGAATTTGGTGATTTCAAGTATTTTGGCGCCGGCGCCCGTGGCGCGGGCGCCAGGAGGTTTTGGGGTCAAGCGGATGCGATATTCGTGTTCAGCGGGTCAAAGTACCCCTGGAGCCAAGTTTTCAGCAAATTCTGCCCACGGAGAAAAAAGTCGGTCAGGAACTGGCCTGATTTCGGATGGCTGGGGCAGTAAAGGGTAAATAGCTTGTCCAAATTACGGTATTAATAAATAATCCACCCAATTCAACCCGAAGGCATCAGAAGAACGTGAAAACACTGAAAGCTAAATGTTCACGGAGAAATCCTACCTCTTTCAGCCTTCTCAGCTTGTCAGTAATCAGACCAGAGTCTCCAGCTTTCAACCCTGAATATGGACGCGGTAGTACCAGTGGCAAAGCCGCGCTGTGGGTATCTCTTTCAGATATTTGTTAGATTTATCCCTTAGACCATTACCTTTTTATTGAGAAAAACTTTTTCTCGTACCAAATTTGCAAAATTGTGTTGAGAAAAGGCGGAAAATATTACATGGATCAAAAATCAAGCGCTTAATCTGCTACTGCAGGTGTCAGCGATGAGCAGAATGTGACAGTACTGATCAAAAAGCACAGTTCAGCAGTCCAGTCGCAGTGTTACGCGCAAACTACCAGAGGATTTCCAAGCTATAGTCTTGTTCACTACAAACGCTGATGCGTGTCAGATGGGCTGGGGATTTGGTGTGACTACAGCCCACTCTCCACTAAGTGTGAAACTGCAACCACAACTGATGGTAAACTCGCTAAACCCAGCCCTACTGACACGCCCCAGCGTTCCCACGAACAAGACTTTCGCTATCTTGACACACCGTAGCGTTGCCACGTTGAATGATCTGGGTTCTGGTGCGAATGTCGTAGACGTGGCACTATTTCCAGCGCCTTTTCCCGACCCTTACTGCAACTTGGAAGAATAACACCCGTGAGCACTCGTTGAAGAGTTAAGTTTCTGGGTACAAACGTAGATGTTTTAAACAATTTAAGGTCAGATTGAGCCGCTCTTTCTCCGCTTTTTCCCAGAACAATAGCTACTTGGATAACAGATGTAGCTGGTGATATGTTCGTTGGTAGTTGGTGATAAGTCAACTGCTAACAACCGTGACGTCACTACAACGGAGCGCTGCGTTCAGTAACTGAAAGTACTCTAAGACCTACCCTGTCCAAGTCCATTTTAACCCTTGCTCCTCGCTTGCACCAACTTTCCTTGTGGTCACAACTACTGATTCCGCTACCATGAATGCCGAGTAGAATCCCACACCAAACTGACCAATAACAGCTTCTGCATTGTCCTTGTTCTAAATAGAGCAACGAAGAAGGTTAAGAAGACAAAAACAAGTACGGTTTAATGGAATCGCACCTTCTCTATAAACTCTTTACTACCGGACTTGGCAATCGTTCCCAGACATTCGAGTAAATCTTCGCGATTCATTCCAATGCCAGTATCTTCGAATGTGATCGTGCGATTAGCCTAAATCTTACAGATTTTCGCCATCAAGGTCATACGCGTAAAAAGGCTCACCTCATCAGTTATGACACGAATTTCGCTTGGACCTTCAGCTATTTCACCAGTCAGCTTCGGCGCATCTCCGCTTTTCTAGCGCATCCGAAGCGTTTGAAATAAGTTCTCGGACAAATACCTAGATTCGCGCCTTCATCCGTGTACATACTTATATAGATCCATTAATAATCAAAATATTTCAAAGGTCAACACAAACCAATATTTCTGGGCCAATGCAAACCAAATCGGCCCTTTCGGAGTCTTGGGCGATACTGCAATCAATGACCAAACGAAGGATTACCTTCTAGAACGGCGCGACCAAATGAGGATTACCTCTAGAACGAAGCAAAACCCTCAGTAGCCCGGTTACAGGGCATCCGTCAAATGGATATCCCTTCGCTGGGAAGGTTCAGAGGCACTTTCTCGTTGCATTTTTTGGCCAAGCATTTGAAGGGAAGAGAATAAAGAAGAGGAAAGAAAACGGAAGGCGAAGGTTCCGCGAGTGACAGATTTTCTGGGATGGGCCTGTCCTCGATGGGGAACATACAAGGCAATCGTCTTGTCGCGTAGTCGCGCGCGCCGTATCCTGCGGCAATACGCGGCGAATTCTCGAAGTGCATCGATTTGAGCAGCGCAACGCATGTGAATTCAAGCAAAAGCAATATTCCATGAAGGGTCATATCAAACTTTCCGCCTCCTAAACGCACTAATTCAAAAGGCCGAGCAGGACAGCTCGTCTGCGGATGCGGCGTCGCTCGCCACGCCCACCAACGCGGCATATTACGATTGTCTTGTCACATACCCGCTCGACAAAACCGTGACAAGCAAACTATGGATAGGTAGTTCGAAGCGTGGGAGTAGCACAGGTCCGCTACCTACTAGGAATAAGGAGATGACTCCTCGTACAAGAAGCTAATGTGATGACGTGTCATGTACACCGTTAACTACGGGGAACCTGATCTGACGTCACGGGGTGACGTCTCAAAACACGACATCAACGTGTTGCGTGACGTCAATGACACGTCATGCTCTCTCTACACGTGGTCCTTGTACCAGCGCTTTAACAAGGCCTAGTTTGACCACATTGTGATTTGATTAGAAAGTCCCCACATTTATAACTTATTCGAAAAATGTTCAAAAATCAGAAGAACCGGAACGACAACAGAACCCCGCCACTGTGGAAAAGGGGAAACAAAACGTACTTCGCTGTGTGAGTACAAAGATTTCGCAACAATATCCATGAGATTCTTCGTCTCTGCTTGGAACTCATGGCGCTCGGCTGCTACATAGAACCGTTTCGGAGTGATGACATTTTGTTGGGAAGGCGTCGTTAGGACGCTTAATGGACGAACAGCAGTAGAACGCACATACCGAGTATTGCAGAATGCGATCCGTCGCAACGCATGCCTCGTCGCCCACATTCTAAAAAGGAGAAAAATTCATGACGCAAGATATTTTCAAAGTACTGGCTCATATAGCACTTCTAAAAACAACGCCATGCAAAACCCGAGTCGTTCCAAGTTTGTACATTACGAGACGCACAGGACGATTAGCTTCATAAATAAGCACAAAACAGATTGAAAACAACTGAAGCAATGCCAAATAGTTCAGCGGAGTAAAGCTGACGAGTTGTTCAGTGCATTCTGTGTACTGTGACTTGAGTTTGGTGTGCTTACACATGAGACATTCCACTAAACGCCTACACTGCTGTCTACGAAGCGGGGCACATCGTTGTTGGGGAATCCCCAATAGGGGGAGGGGTCGTATTTGGCCGCCAGGAGAGGGGGATCGTACAGACTCGACTAAAATCTCCAATCAATTATGTGACCTGCTGCGAAGCGGCCTATTTGAACGCGAATTGGGCGCTTTAGCTCTTAAGTTTTTGCATTTGGTTGCGCTTACTCGTACTTCGTAATCGCGGAATTTTGGACTCCAAAAGGCTGTAAAGTTACTAGAGAATCCTCACTCGAGCAACTGAAGCAGGTCCTCCGTCAGAAATTCGGCTGGTGAGAGGTCCGATGAGTACAAAGCAACATTTTGCGCAAATTTACTCAATTTTCACAATGTTTTTTTTGCGCCGTGTGCTGGTGCGTTATCCCGGAATAAGTAAGCAATAAGTCTACTTCGACTTTTGCAGCACTGCTGATCTACAAAGACATGGCGCAACTTGAGAAGGAACTAATCAATATTGAGTGCCTCACACTTCTACGATAATGTTAAACTTTTGCAAATGACTTGCGAGGAGGTGCAGTGGCAAACCCCGTCGCTTACCAGACCGGATATCCTAGCTGGGATCGTCTCTCAACCATACCAACAAAACCCTACACTTCTCGGAGGTCGGTTAACTGGTACCAGAATTTGTTTGGGAGCCAGGGCACATCCTGGCATTGTGGAGACTTTTCCGAAATGCGACCCTCCCAATTACTCCCCACGGTACGACTCTTCTCACATCACTACACTCTATCCTACCAGATTTAATCAAATTCTCCAAATAATTTGAGATAAAGGATATCTTCACCTTTGATCAATCCCTTTGTGGGATGCGGCACGCATTCTACTTCCATTCAGAATCGTAGTGGCTTATTGAATGCGATGTGGCCTATACAATGACTTGCGGGGGCCAGCCGATGTACAAGTCAGTGTTCTTATCCTTCCAAATCTTGCACAAATTTACCGCCTCCGAAGAGTAGAGGGCTTGATTGACTTGGGCGGGGGTCGATCCAGGATTTGGTTCGCAGACCGCGCACATTGATAAGCGAGCCCACTAGCGGCGCTACACCGCCTTCGCCAATAGAAGGAAAGTTTGGAGTTCGGGAATCCTTCTAGAATTCCGGGTCGAGCGGGATGGATTAAGGGTATAGTGCAAGGGGAGCGCGGAGATAAAAAGCGGAAAAATTCCTGGGCGGGACGCGACCCCCCCCCTCCCACCCCCCTTTCTCCCCAGCGTCCACATACTACCCCCGTTGAGGATTCCCATGCGTGCGATGTGCCCTTTCATGCAATCTGAAGAAACCAGCTAACTGACAGTGAATGCTTTGCAGTCTTCGAGTAGCGCACATACTTTGAAAAATTTCTAGAGCCACAGAAGGACCTATGGCTTCGCATGAACCTGCAGTTAGAAGAAAAATCCATTGCATCCCGAGGCAGCGCTCCCCGTTTTCTTAACAAATGCCGCCTCCAAATTTCTCGCGATTTAAGTTCCGTTTCCCGCAACTTGACTACATCTCGTCCGGTTCGGAGATCCGGGTTGCGCTGACGCCAGCGTATAAGCCAGCTGGTTGATTTGAGTGTACTGTAACAGTGCCTTTGCTTCAAGACCTAATTGATTCTACGATGAACCGAAAAGGTTCTAGTGTGGACGCTACGCAAATGGCGTCGTGTCTATGGATCCATGGGGCCCCCAATCGATGTGTGGTTTCTAGAATAAAAATAAAAACTAAGTTGCCAGCGAGCCACAAAGTATATTTATCAAATAGGCGATCCAGCTTCAAAATCGATATTCCTACAAAACAATCAACAACAGCCAGCAACTACAATTCCTAGAAACTATTACTTATAGAATGGCTAAAAAGATTGAGACACGCAGAAATTACAGTCGGTGTTCCTGTGATCTGGGGGCAGTTAGGGGTGGGTTTGGGCGGCGCGCAGCCCCGTTTTGCACCAATTGGGAGCAAGGCACAGGGAGCGAGTCGGCTTGTCGCCTTGCGACAGATTGTGGGGCTGAGGAAGCGGGCTGGACGGGGCGCCCAAAAACACAGTCCACGCGACGCCTCATGCACTCAGTGGGACGCCAAGACCGTAGGCTTATCACCGGACGAGTCTTGGAAGTTCTGCCGAATGCATTGCATAAACTGAGGGTTATCCTACTGGCACAGAACTGGGCTAGTTGTAAAATGCTAGCCTAGATCTATTAAGGCTAAGAAGTCTCTAATTATATCAGCAATAACAGCTCACGCAATGAATATTGAAGAGTTCACATTTAAATTCATAGTCTACAGTTTCTAAGAAACACAATTATTTTGAAATTTGACACCTCAAGTCGTCACGAGGTAGTGCACTTGGTACACGCGCGGTTGCTCAAGGCAGGCTACTGCAGGCCCGCAGCAACAACCTCAGCGCGTCCTCAGACCTGCCTAAACGACATCTATTCACGCGTCTCAGACCTGCCAAAGACATCTTAGGACATTCTGACTGCATATTGCAATACAGTAGATGGCAGCACTTCTAAAGGACGAGACAATATGACCTAGTCAGAATATCAAAAATTCAATTTGAAGCAATTTTATATTCCAAAATACTTGGTTCAAATTTCTGTCCTGCATTCCCTAATGAGCACTCTTTTATAATGCCTGCTTCCACATATTGCTTTGTAGGCCCGTTTTCGAACCAAAATTTCGGAGTCTTTCCAAAAATCCAATTCCAGTCAGTCAGGTCTGTAAGGATTTTCGCACATTGCTCGTTTTCCTGTACCTCCTTGTCAACGTCAACCTCACTGATGGGGCACTCCTGAAAGGGGACAAATTAGGTGAGAATTACCAAAATTAGCTGAAACCGAGAATTCTGCAACACTAATAGACGAGCACTCCACACATAGTTGATACTGTCGCAACGCGGCGGGGCGGTATCAGGAGGCGTGGAGTGACCATACCCGCGGCTGCATTTTCTACCAATAGTGGGCAGTTCAGGTAAAAAAACAATGGTAGAAGTCCGGTGAAGTCGCCGAAGGATGCGATCTTTCCACGCCTTCTGACACCGCACCGCCGGATTGCGACGATATCAACGGTATGAGCGCCGTGCCAAAACGGGACGACAGCTAGCGCCAACTAGGAGGTGGAACGGGAACCTAGCATTACTTACTTCCAGTCGGTAGAACAGAAGGCGCCAAATAGCTGAAAAGGGTAAATGGTTGCTTACCTCAAACTGTGACTTGAAGTGCTCCACAAGGGCGTCACGAACTGTGTGAACCTCAGCTGAAGGGTCATCCTGCTTCAAGAAACCGACAGCAGGAGCCCTAATGCTACGACTCGCGTTTGTTTGGATGTAATCCTCAAATAATATTTCTAATATTTCTAAAGCAACATCATAACAAGAGACATTCCTTTAGAAAATAGGATTCATTTTTTACATTGATCAATTTACAAAAGGCGAACTCCTGTAAAGCAATGACACCAATCAAGTGAACATCAACACTTTTGTTTACACTTCTGGAGCGCAATGGAGGGAGGCGGGAGGGGGGGTGGAGGCTGGGCTGGGCCGTATTTGCAGGTTCCGGCTGTTGATTCCCACCACTCCCTGTTTCAAGTGAGCTAGATACCCCTCGCTCCCCAGACATTGGAAAAAAGCTCTGTGAATGTGGTAGCTGATTGGGAGCAGGGCACATCGTTGTTGGGGAATCCCCAATAGGGGGTCGTATTTGGGCTGAGAAAAATTTATTTTGATAGTTGATTTTTCTCGCTTCACGGACGTTGTAAAGGAGGGGGGGGTCGTACTTGCTCATTGTTGGGAGGAGGATTTTTTTTCCTGTTTCATGTGTACTATATACCCCCTCTCACACCCCCTTCCCCCCTCCCCGCACCCCTTCTCCACCCCCTCGACAGAGGAATTTTTGGGGAAAAGTAGGGAAATTTTGAAAAAAGTGGCAGGAAGGTGGGGAAAATTTGAGAATTGGTAGAAGGAGAACCAGAGGAGGGGGGGGTCGCACGGACTCGACCGAAATCCCCAACCAATGATATGCCCTGGTTAGGAGAATTCAGATTAAATTAACGTTAAGTAGGATGTAGCGTTTGCAGTGAAGAGACCGAGTAAGCGTACCCGGAAAAGGAGACCGCAAAGCAGTAGACAACACCATAAGATCTGCTTCTCTCTAGTGATCGTGGCCGCTGTCCCCGGAGCATTTTTCGTGAACGGCTGTGAATTCATGTCATCGTTTAGGTTGGAATCACCTGAGTCCACAAACGATGAATCAACGCAGTCGCACTTGGTGTCACAACGTTGAAAAGAAATTGAACGAACATTGACGGCAAAGCGAGCATTGAGAGCTTTTGAAATGGAGGTCAGATTCCTAGGTCTGCAATGCGACTTTGTTTTTCGTCAGTACTGATATGTTCAAATTACCTGAAAAATATATTACCAGTTTGTCCTTTATAGGGGTCGAGCGTCTCTGATCACTGCATAACACTGCTGAATGTCAGCACGGCCCTGACAACAGGGCGCTTTCAACGGTTATTTTGCTCTTTCTTCGATAGATGGGTAAAGCAGCAGCTCCAAATTTATGCTTGGATCAGACGACGTACACTTACAATTACATATCGAGTGAATACGAAGGGGGAGGGGGGGGGGGTACGATGCGTACTTTCTTCGAACATGGCGTAAATGTATACCATTTTCACTTTAAATTCACCACTTTTCAAACCAAATTCACCACTTTTCAAACCAAATTCACCACTTTTCAAATCAAATTCACCACTCTTTTTAGAGGGCAGTTCACCAACCAGATCACGCCAGACACCACTGCGAGCCCCGCCCCGACGGTCACGCCTACTTGTCAGCGCGTCAAACTTTGCCTGATTTATTTGTTCCGAGTGACGGACGAGACCCTAGCATGCAAGCCAAGACTCTATACTGCCGATTTGCACCATTTTTGAAAAGTGGGCGGGGCTTCTCCGAAGTGGGCGGAGCCTCTCACAGTGGGCGGGGCTTCACGCAGCAGTCCAAAAATGCAAAAATTTTGAAAAAATATCAAAATTCCGCAAAAAGCAAGTGGGCGTGGCCAAGGGGGCGGAGCCTAAATTGCCAGTGCATAAATGCGCGGGTACGAGTATCTTCGTTGTGCAAAGAGTGGATGTGAAATTAAAAAGTTGAAAAAAGTTATGAAATTTCGAAGTTCGCAACAAACTTTAAAGAATGGGCGGAGTCAGTCATGTGTTGAAAATCTATGTCCGCGCTGACAAGTAGGCGTGACCGTCGGGTTCGCAGTGGTGTCTGGCGTGATCTGGTTGGTGAACTGCCCGGTCTAAAAAGAGTGGTGAATTTGATTTGAAAAGTGGTGAATTTGGTTTGAAAAGTGGTGAATTCAAAGTGAAAATGGTATATTTTCAGTGGAATATTCACATTTGATATAACTATCTATTTTCACAGGACAGAAGCATAATTACAGTTGTCATAAAACGGCCATATCCCACCGGAAGCAAACGCGCTACCACGCTTTCCCATCTCCAGGCATATGGAGTGCACGACCCGCAATGGCGAAAAGGTTCTTTGAAGCCAGCAATTTACTGCACGGCTTTTTCGGTTACGGTAATGGTGAGGTTACCTACGGAAGTAACTGCATTGTCCCTCACACAGCACAACTGTTGTCAGAAAGGGTTCTAAAAACCACCTGTATCATGGTACACAGTTCCACCACCGCTGTGGCGCCGAGCCAAAACGATACCATACTCCTTCAGAAAAGGAATGTTGGCTTCCATCCACGGATTCTGGTGACGTCCCACGACCACAGCTGGCTTATTACTGCAAATGGTCAGGAATGCGATCAACAGAAAATGGAGAGTGCAAGAATTCACTTACCTCCACATAAGGACCACTTCATCACCTTCTTCTAATTTCGTATTTCTGAGAAGCATACTCCATCAAACCGCCTAGACTTTTTGAAAAAGATACAGCACGTCGAGTTTAGAGAGGTAGATACGACTAATACCTTTCGCATATAACTTCGGCAGCAATATTTCTGAAAAATTCGGTTCAAATCTGCAAACGCTTCCAATTGATTCCATCGATCAAAGACGGGTGTTGAGTCAAGGAGATCCACGTTGCAGAGACGCGCAAGCCACTAATTAGTCCTGCCTAGCTAGGTTGACTCGAATGCGTTGTAGTCGGACCCCACCACAAACGGGAGCCTGTCGACTAACCGGCTACACCAACACACATTTTCGTGAAATTGTAGCCACTAAGGCGCAAAACACTAAAGCGAAAGCGAAAGTGAAAGAACTAAAAATGTCGAGACAAACACCTGCTAGGCGCAATACCTTTTTACTCGGCACGCTTCATTCCGCGAACCCTCCCTTCGCGCCCCCCCCCCCCTCAGCAAATAATGAACTTGGAATTGGCACAAGTTAGGCAGCATCAGGGAGGGCATAGAAGGTGCATCAAAGGTACCTCTCTCGTCATTCGGGCAGTTGATTAGGGCGGTCGTCACGGGCCGCAGCGCGTGCCAGGAACTATTTGCTTTTTCCAGGCTAATTTAGTCATTTTTTCGCATTTCCCAGATTGGCAGCTCCCTATCTTTTCAAACAAATCAACCTGCCCGATGACGAGTATAAACGAAAATTCAATCTGACTGAAAGTATTCGCCATGATCGTATTCGTCCAAAAACAGTCACAGCACAAAGAAAACAATATTTATTTGTAATCACCCATGTTGGAATTTATGAACAACGACAAACAAGATAAGACAAAAAATGAGATCAACAATTCTTGTAACAACTAAGGAATTTCACCCAAGAAGATACGCTTGTCACTTCCGCGGCCAGCCAAAGGATAAAAATACAACTTGAAATTGTGCGCAGTTAATACACCATCCATCTTTTGAGAAGTAATCGCTTGTGGTTCAGGAGATCCGGGACGCACGATCGCGCGCTAAGCGTCATTCCTAACCAGTTGGCTTGAACTGGCACTTTTCCGTTGTATCAATGAGGCCATTTCTACCTTGTTATTTTTGCTTTACGGAATTATGTCGAAAATTTGACAATCGACATGCCATATCAATTCACAAGTGATTTTCGCTTATCAGTGATCCTCGAAACTTGGAATGAAGGAAGCAGTCTATCAAATGCTGGGATGAGACCCTGAAGTTACCCGTGGGACGTAGGCTGTCATGACCTTATTGATTTGACGCCAAAATGCCGGCCCAAGTCAACTAGCTAGGAATACCACTTGGCACGCGATCTCGTAATCCTGCGATCTGCTGAACCACATCCAAGCAAACATGAAACAGAGAACTTACAAATGGGCTCAGTCGGATGCAAATCGGTGGCATTAACGGATCCTAAATGCCCAGGCAGTTTGTAGAGAATGTAACGAGATGCCGCATCCCATACGTATGCGAATCGATCACTTGATCCGGCTGTCACTCGTTTACCATCACCAGACCATCCACATTTCAGTAAATTCTAAATGGTAAATAATTAAGCAAGGCATCACAAATAAAGGAATAAAACGGAATATATAACCTTTTCGAAATTGTGCTGATGACCAT